GGGCATCTGCCCTCAGCACTAGATCCTGTTGAACTTTGCTCAACTTCTAACAGTTATTCCTTCACCGATTTGCTTTTTTTTAGCAAGGACTTATAATTGGCTTGGTTACCATTTATTAAACATATATTTCTTCTCATGAAATAATCTTAGTTTTAAGAAATACAAAATTATTTGTGTAGTTTGATTATGATTGTGCTATTTTAAAAATTCACTGAAACCTATGCACAGAGTAAAAAAGATTCTAAAGAAACATATTCCAGAATATTAATAGTGATTTAATTATTTGGGACTGTGAAAGAATTACTCTCATTCTGATTTATATGTTTTCAACATTCTGTGGTAAATATGTTACTTTATGCTTTAAAAAATCTTCACAATACTATGTAAATTTAGCTTTACTTATTGCTTACATCTTAAAAAATAGAAGAATCTTTGTTTTTGAATTTTCATTGTTGATTACATGGGATTTGTTTAGCTTGTAGAATGTGCAAATTAATGTTTTTTACGTATTTGGAGAGTTTTTTTGTCTTCAGATGATCTTTCTTTTCCTTTCTATTTCTCGTTCGAGCAGTCCTATCATTTCTGTGTTGGTACACTTGATGGTGTCCCATAGGTCTCTAAACCTTTATTTATTTTTCTTCTTTCTGCCCCTCAGAATGCATAATCTCAGTTGACCTGTGTTCAAGTCTTGATTCTTCTGCCAATTCAAATCTGCCATTGAGCCCCTCTCAGTGAATTGTGTATTCAGTTATTGTACTTTTCCATTCTAGAATTTCTTTTTGGTCTTTTTTTAAAAAATAATTTTTATCTCTTATTGGTGAGAAATTCTTACATCTTAATTCCCACACTTATTTTTTTAGACACGATTTTAGATCTTTGAACATATTTATAAGAGTGGATTAAAATCTTTTGTCTAGGAAGACCAATGTTAGCCTTCCTCATGGACAGTTTCTGTTGACTGCTTTTTTCCTGTGTATGATCATACTTTTCTGTTTTGTTTTTCTCACATCTCCATAATTTTATGTTGAAACATAGATATTTTACTTAATAAAATGTGGCAGCTCTGGAAATCAGATTTCCCTCCTACCCCCACTCTATCTACCCACCTAGGCTATTTGTTTTATCTGTTTGGTTAGTGACCTTCCTGGACTAATTCCATAGACTTTTTTCTTTGTCATATGTTACCACTAAAGTTTCCACTTGGTTAGCTAAGTGGTCAGCTGATGGTTAGAGGGAAATTTTTTTAATGCCTTGAGTGAATAGGTCTCTCTTTACCAAGGGCTCTGTATGCCTGTGCATTGGGATGTACTTTCAGTGCTTCGTTCAGCCTTTGCCTTCACTTCTTGTTTTCACAGAGCCTGCTCAGGTCAGCCAGAGTAAGAGGTAGGACCTTTCAGGTCTTTATTGGGCACTCACACAGCCTAGGAGTATATGTCCTTCTAGTTTCCCAGGAGTATGTTGGAGCTTGTCAAAGTCCTCTGTGGGTATATCATTCCAAGATTTTTACTTTTAAGCTTTTTGGTCTACCTCTTCTTAGTCCCAGCCCAGCTGGTATCACTGCCTCAGAAAGGTATGCCCCTGGTTATTTTGACAGGCACTCTAAGGTTAGGGCTGTTCACACAGAGCATGCTCAGAGCTGGGTTGGATAAAGCCAAGCCATGAAAATGGAGCCCTTCCGGGAGCTGCCAGGATGTCTGATAATGATAAGTCTTGGGGATGGGGCTTTTGGGGAGCTTTAGACCTCTTCTGTCTCATTCCATGGCAGCTAGGCTGCTGGTTTTCTTTGTAGTTGCAAGGCTGTTGGTTTTGAAGGCCACTTTGGAGCGTGGGAGTGGGAGAGAACAAGGCAAGTTAAAATACTACAAACTTAGTGTTCTTACTGAGATTCCGCTGCTTTTCTTGAATAAATCCTCCTCAGATTGCCTTTGTTTAATTTCCAGAGTTCTGAAAAAGTTAATTTTGACAATTTTTGTCAGTGTCCTTGTTGCTTATATGGGGGACGCAGATTTTCTGGGGTCTTTTTTTTTGCTATGCCGGAAATACTTGGGTACTGCTTAGTATTTTAAAGGGCTATTGGTTTGACCACTAGGTGGAAGTAGAGACTTGGAAACTTTGTTGTTCCGAGTTGTTATCTTAGGTAACTTATTGTAAATAATAACATAGCAATACTATACAGCCTTGTTTATCAGATTAGATCTCTATTTCTATACTATATCTATAATTTTAGTATTAGAATTTGTTTCTGACCATAGTGCATTTCGAATTTCTCATTACTTCAAACAAAATTTTGGTTGGAATTTAATCAGTTTTCAGGTAAAGTAATACCTTATTCACTAAAGCCCAAATTAGAGAATCTTTCGAATAAATTGAAGTTTAAATGTTATTTATTATTTGATTAATTATCAAAGATTATTAGAAAAATTGCTTTAAAGAAATTAGAATAATTGTTAATTGTAGTATATTATAAAATTTTATGTGTGTAAATTCTTGTGTCTAAAGTAAGTGAAAAAAACTTTAAGTAGATTTTGAAATTTTTTATACTAAAATGTCTGCTAATATTCTTAAAGACAGTGCTTACTTTATGGGAAAGCTATTATGTTATGAATTTGTATATTACTGTATTAAGGATCTTCTATTAGAAAACTTACTAATTTTTCAATATTTTCATTAGTATATGAGATTCCTTCTGGACGTTTCATGAGAGAATTGTATGGCCACCTCAATATCATTTATGATCTCTGCTGGTCAAAAGATGACCGCTGTATCCTTACTGCATCATCTGATGGCACTGCCAGGTCAGTATTCTTGAGAAGTACTTATCGTGTGTGGTGTTTGCCATCAAAGAAAGCAAAGAGAATATAAAGCAATGTAGCTACTCTTATGCCTCAGTAATGTTTTGCTTATCAGGGATTGTCATAAATATGTACCATATAAACTGACTGATTGAATAAGTAGTAGTGAAAACTTTTTATCTTGAAGACATTTTTGTTAAATATGTTATTTATGTTATGTATAATATTTCTAGTCCTCACTGTCTTTAAATGATCATTATGTACACTGTTCAATTAATACTTTGAGATGAGGTTATTAAAACAACTGAGATTTTTCCTAGAATATAAGCTCTTGATGGCAGGGATTCCATTTTCAGTGTTAGCTGGGTGCAGAGGCCAGGACACAGTGGTGCTTAGTATGTAGCGTAGAGTAAATAAATCAATATGCACCTTATGTTCTAAGAGCTTTATAGATTGTCAAGTATTTGCATATTTCAGAATGTCAGTCTTAAAATAACTCCTTCCAATATAATGAGTGTCACAATAAAATATTTTAAAAGCTACTTTTTAAAGTTTCATATATGCTTTTTGTAGTTACTTATTCTACCTTGGATATATTCTAAAACTATTAGGCAGTTGTATATGTCATTTTCTATATGTCATTTAATTTGATTTCCACAAATGTGGAAATTGGATACACACGTATTTATTATCTCTGTGGGAAACTGACATTTAGACCAGATCAAGATCCACTCTGATTTCACTCTTAACTACTTCTGCTTCCTGTTCTTTATGCATACTTTTTAATATGCTTTTAGTGTCTGGGTCCCTTCTAGTAATCTTATCAATTTCCTTTTCAATATAAATTGTCTAATTGATTAACATGTTATCATTACTGTTTAGTTTATAGTTAAATAAAAAAGATGGCAAATGGTGACAATTGATTTCCCTCTCTATCTAGCTGGGAACCTACTATTAGTCCCTCTTAACAGTATCCTCAGGAACCTGTCTGGTCTGTTCTTTCAGTATAGCCATTCTGTCTGATGCCAGGTTACACTAGATAAAAATACATAACCTTGCTAAGGCCTAACTGTGGATTTGTAAATCTGAAAATCTCCTGAGCTCTCATCTCTGCTGAGCAATCCTTTTACTTATATTTGTTGAGCTATCTTTTCTCATTCCTCTGGCTGCAGATCTAAACCTTACCATACTTCATGGTCTCCATTCTGAACCACAATCTTTGCACTTCCATTAGATGACTGCCTTCACTTTACAGTGAAATTTAGCCAGACATGATTTTCCTGTATTTCCTCTGGTTTCCCACCTAATAACTATGAATTTACCCATCTTTCTCTCTGTCCATCTCTTTTAGCAAAGCAGTATAGGTATAGACACTTTTAAGGCTAATATTTGATCTGTGCTTTTAATCTCAGTCCTTTAATCTACAATTTTGTTACTTCTATTTCTTACATCTCTTGGCTCTGTAGTACCTTTCTCTATTGATTTCGTCCTCTCATCTTAGAAATACAGCGTGTGTAGATTTCCAGCCATGGATTGAAAATACGGTTTCAAAATACAGTTTAAAAATCTGCATATAAGTGGACTGGCATTGTTCAAACCCATGTTGTTCATGGGTCAACTGTATGCTCCAATCTCCTTATCTTAAAGAAATCTTTTTCTGCCTTCCAGACTACCACATTATTTTTTTTTTTCTACATCATCAAGAGCATCCTACACACATTGTCTTTGCTTCAACCCAGTTAGTTTGGCTTTCACTCCCACCATGCCATATAAACTTTCTTCAAGAGGTCAGCAGTTACTTGTTAATTTTTAGATCCATTGGCCAGTTTCAGTCCTTACCCTGTTTGCCTTCAGTGCAGTAATTAATTATTGATTAGCCTTGAAATATTTTTAATTCATGGTTTTCATTGACAACCTCTTTTGGTTTTCTTTTCATGACTCCGACCAATTTTCATTCCCTTTTTTTTGTTGTTGTTCCTTTCATCTGCCTATTCTCTACAGATATTTATCCCCAAGGTCCTTTACTTGATTGTCTTCCCTTGTTTGGTGTGCTATCCTGGTCTCTCTCATCTTCCCTGGTTTTGAATCTCCCTTATATGCTAATGACGTCCACATTTTTTCTGAGTTTGACTTTCTCTTTCACACTTCTATCTGGATTTCCCAGTGGCACCTCAAGTCCAAAATCATCTTACTGAAATCACCAAACTTTGTTTTCCTCTTTTAGTACTCTTATATATTTTTAAATGACATCCTTATCTACTTTGTCTCCCACGCTGGGAATCAAGAGTCGTACTTTTCTCTTTTTTCTTTTCCACCATTTATTTCCAGATGTAAGTAATACTAAAGTCTGTCCATTCTGTCTCCTAAAATGCTCACCATAATATCTTTCTGTCTTTACTGCTGTTGTCTTAATTTAAGCTCTTATTGTCTCTTGCTTAAACTGTTGCTGCAGAACTTTCCCAGTGTTCAGCTTCTAGTCTCTTCCATCTCCACTATGCTAAAATTATCTTTCTAAAACCATCTTTCATAATGCCTTGTTTTAAAAAACTTTGATTGCCATTGCCCTTTGGAAAATGTTCCGGGTCCTTAGCATGGCATGACAGGCCTGCCCCTCATTGACCTTACACTCTTCTCTTATGCACTTCACATGTACCCTCTGCCTCATCCACACAATCTTTTGAAATACCCTTAACATCTTATCTTCTCTGGCAGCTCCATGCCATGTTACCTTACCTAGTCTTCCTGTGCTTAAATGTCTTTCCTTTACAATTCCTGCCCAAGTCATTCATTCAACAAACATTTAAGTGCCTTTTGTGAGCCAGAGTGGGCTCGTAGTCATCATTTAAAACCCAGCTCAGATTTCACCATTTCTTGAAACCATCTTGGATTTGCCCACACAACATGTAATATATTGTAGTAAAGTATGCTTTTTTTCTTTATGTAGTTTTGAAATTGATATTAATTTAGGACTCTATGTCATAAAAATATTATCGTGAAGGATTAACTGAGTGAAGAAAGAAACATTGTGGCTAGATCCAGAAAGACTGAGGTTTTTGAAAGAAGTAAAGAATACTTACAATGAATAGGCTAAAGTGAAAAGGAAGAGAATTAGTTACTAAAGCTCAGGAATGGCAGAAGCGTGAGTTTCTGCCCACGTCCTCTTCTGTCTTCCTCAGGATCACTGTCAGATGCTATCATTGGTGTCTCTTAAGTAACTGTTTTCCACTGGTTAGCTTTCTACCATGTGGGTTTAGCCTAAACCTCCTTTTTTTAGTTATCTTTAGTATAATCTCTATTTTTCTCAAACAACAACTTCTCATATAATCAGAAAGATTTTTCCATGTGTAATGGCTCCCAAATGGGCCCATTTGTCCCCATTCCTCCTCCCTACCCCCGCTTCACACATACTGTTTTAACTTTGGTATGTTTTTTCTTTTCCAATTCTAATAATTGTTTTTTTGTGCAGTTACCTAGTCTTACAAATTTGTGTATCCTTCTTTTCTATGATGAGCCTGATTTTTTCCTAACCCATTAATAAATTTGTTTTGATCTTGGATTCTACCATTGATTGGGTGACTAATGCCATCATAGATACCAGTTTTGTTTTTTACCTAAAAAGTTCATTTTTATTTAAAAAATTGTGTCTCTCAATTATATCGAGCTCTTTTTAAAATACAATTGCTCCATTCATGTCTGTTACATGGTATTTCAAATAATGCCACTAAGATTTATTAGTGAGCAACTGAAGTTTTTATCTTTTAACAATCTTTGTAATATTTCAAATTAGTGATTTTCTTTTTTCAATAAATACTATATTTCATGTAACATATGTTCATTGAAAGCTATTACTACGGTGAAATGTTTATGCAGTGACACACGTGCTTTATTTTTACTTGAAAACATGTTCTTTCACTTCCTTCATTGTTAGTTTGAATTCTTAGTAATTGAAGATCATATCCTGTATTTTAAGCAGCTGCTGAGAAAACTCGTAGAAAGTTATTCTTGACTAGCAACTGTATTTTTTCTTTTATTGACAATTGATAAAAGACATAATTTCCTTTAGTTCTTAGGTAATAATTAAAAGGATTAATTATAAATCCCCATATTAAAAGATTAATATGCTCTTCTAATTCTGATAACTTAAGCTTTTAAAAATCCAGTATTCCACACTCATTTAGCACCTGTCTATTGCTAGATTTTGCCTATTTTTACACATTGATTACAAATGCAGAGTATCTAACATAACATTTTAACCCTTAGGGTTTACTCTTTTGTCAGGATTATAGCAATGATTATACTAATTTTTATAAAACATCCATTATTTAGAGGAAGAGATAATGAGAATGTTAAACACAAAGTGAGTGCTTAATATAGTTTGATAGAAAACATACTATATTATTATAATCTTATTTTCTTATTTTTAATCTTATTTTAATCAAGTGTTCATATGGTAATTTCATTATGGCTTTTAAGTCTTCGAGATCTTCAAGTTTATTATCTAGGCTTTGAAATTACTCATATGAAGTTAATAGAGTATCCTATTCTCTAAACCCCACTGGTAAGCACTTTGAAAAAGCAGTGTGCACAACCTAAACAAGAAATCAGTAAAGCTTCTCCCTATATTTTATTTTTTATGTATAGTGGACTAAATGCAATATTTTACCAGCTATTTGATGTGTGTTTAAACAATGTCAAAATAGGTTTAAAAAAGACATATCCAAATACAAATAGTTTTTCATTTTATAGTATAGATTATAATTAGTAGACAAATTAACCATTACGCTTGATAATAGCAGTAAGAAATAGCTTTGTCAAAATGTAAAGAATCCATGCCATCAAATACATGATCACATTTTTTTTTTGTTATAAAGCTTAAATTTAGTTTACCATTGTTTGTTGTCATTTGCTTACGTAAATCCCATTGGCTGTATTGGTTCTTCGAGAAACTTCTAAAGAAACTTATGCCTTTCAGAAGAAATATGTAACTTTTTATCTTTTTCCAGGATATGGAAAAATGAAATAGATAATACAAAGACTTTCAGAGTTTTACCTCATCCTGCTTTTGTTTACACGGCTAAATTCCATCCAGCTGTAAAAGAACTGGTGGTTACAGGGTGCTATGATTCTGTGATACGCATATGGAAAGTTGATATGAGAGAGGATCCTGCCGTATTGGTCCGACAGTTTGACACTCACAGGAGTTTCATCAACTCCCTCTGTTTCGATATTGAAGGTATGTCGGAGAATATATCCCAAATGAAGCTGAATCGCATGAAGGATATTTAAAAATTTTTTTATCTCACTAGAATAATAAATATTTAAGCTTGAGAGGGATTTTATGTATTGATAGTTGGTTGTGCATAGTTAGGTTTTTGCATATTTTGCAGATTATATGGGAGACCCGAGCATAGTTTTGGCACTGAAGAAGTTGTTTGTAATTTTAAGGTCACAAAATTCCTAAACATTTAGAGTCAACTAATCTTTGCTGTAACAACCAATCATTTTCCAAGTTTCATAAATATATTTCACTGGATTGGTGATTATCTCTTGAGTAGATTTTTTTTTTTTAAAGAGCCTTTTAGGTTAAAGGGTAAAATTAAGGAAGATGAAGGGAATATCTCAAAAGAATATTGAAAAAATATATTTTAAATGTAGCAGCAGGATTGTTTTTTTGAAAGTATAGAAACATATAGAAAGGAAATTTGCAGTTAAAGGTGTATCTATATAGATAATATGGATGATGTTTTAAAGACATCAAATATAGATTTTAACAGCTCAAAGACTAAAGAAATTTATTATATCTATTAGTCACCTTTTACGTTATTTCAAACACTAGATATATAGGCTGTAGCTATAATGAATTAGCATGTGATCTAGATCAAAATGATAATTACTGCCAGTGTACTCACTTCAACTATAAAGACGTTAACATATTGGAACACATTAAGGAAAGGTCAGCCAATGATAGAAAGGTATCTGACAGCTCTGTCATAATAGAAATAGCTCAGAGTATGAAAGAGAGATGAAGAATTTCTTCAGATATTTGGCTAAGATATCCATATGTCAAAAAAGGAGAAATCAGTCTTGTTGCTCCAGTGGGTAGAGATAGGGCCAAAGCTGCAGAAGACAGATTGTCTTTGCTCAGAATTACAGAAAACATCTTAATACATAGAGCAATTTATCAGTTGAATAAACTGCTTTTTAAAATATTAAATTCACAGTTGCCGAATGAGTATCTGTTCATACTGGGATGTAAGATATTTCTGAGTTAAACTTGATGGTCCTGAAGTCCCATTCAATTGTAAGATGGTTTGACATTAAGAATTGATGTTAACTGGAACACCTGTTATTTACTATTTTATTCTGATCATTGAGTTCTTGCTGGATCTCAGGCATTATGCTAACAGTATATATCAGAATAGAAGAGTTTTTCCAGGAATATAAAACATTATATAGGTTAATAAAAGTGAGCATATGGATACATATTGGATAATTCAGATAATTTATTTGGCTTTGGGATTTGAGCCATATACATGTGCACCAAGTTGCTCATTTTTATTTATTTATTTATGTTTGTATTAAAATCAGGCAAGTCGCAGAGGGAAATTAGTCATGAAAAATAATTCAAAAGAGTAAAGAATTTATTTAAAGATAATTGGGATTTGATTGGGAGTTATGTTTTTTTTTTTTTTTTTGGCTCTTTTAAACTGAAATACCTTTTAATAGTCCTAGAATTCTTTGACTGTTTGACTGGGATGTGTTTTCCCACTTTTATATTATTTGTTTTTACCTCTCTGTAACAAAGGAGAGTAATTTTATTTACTTAAACAGGTCATCACATGTATTCAGGAGACTGCACTGGGGTGATCGTTGTGTGGAATACCTACGCCAAAGTTAATGATGTGCAACATTCAGTCCGCCATTGGAGTGTTGATAAGGTATAAAATTGTATTTCATATTTTGGGATTTAATTAAATTGGAAAAAACATTGAACCACATGACCTTTAAATAAGACGTCAGGACGTTTGTTCTTTCTCTTCAAAAATATTAAGTTTTTCTTAGTCTCTGAAAAGTCAATTATCATTCATCAATTATCATGTCTTTCTGATGGCTGATTGATGATAAAGTGACTTAGTGAATTTTTTTTTTTACTTTGGCCAGGCTCTCCTTTAATTTTGGGGGTCCTTAATTTGCATTATGGAATTCAGTGATCTATTAATGAAATTTATGCTAAAATGTGATTTATATTACCATCTGTAAATAATAACTTATTTTCTGTATTTATATTTTTTTCTCAGTCCAATAATATCACTCTAAAAACAGTGTATTCACTGTTTTGTTAAACCATGCCAACTTTCAAAATTATGTAATGAGATTGTGTAATGATGAGGGATTCTCTTATTTCATCACAATAATTGTTTCATTTTTTCCTTTTTACCTTTTGACCACCTTCACCCATTTCTGCTATTTGTTTCATTTGAAATGTGCTAAATAGGCGAAACAAGTGGATAATCTCTTTCATTTTTGGAGTAGAGTGTTTTTAAGGTGGCTTGTGTATTAAAATATTATATACAAAATCAATCATTAAACCTGAGTTTGTTTTATGTAAATTGATATAGTTTTTGTCTTACAGGCTGTACCTTTGTTCTTTAATTTTTTATTTGTAATAGAGTACAACAATTGTCCTTGTTTGGAAAAAAAGACACTGTAAATGAAAAATAATTTCCACAAACTTTAGTTAAATCTGTTGAGTCTATCAGATCTGTTTAAAAACAGTACATTCAATTTTTAGTCATTCTCATCTGTCTATCAGATTAATGAATGATGGCTTGGAATTCATGTTGTAGCCTAATTTCACATACTTTGAAAATAATTTTCTGATTACTTACATATCAGAGGGATTGGCAAGTCCCCAAAGGCATTTTAGTCATTTGAATCTACAGTACAGTGTCTGTTATTTGTGTTAAAATCGTGTGTTTCTTTACCCCAGTAAAGAAAGGCAAATTTATCTTGAAAGTCCACAGCCTGGTGGTTACCTGAGACAGTCAAAAATAAAAATTTAGGAAATGAGCTGGAATGTCTTTTTAGTACCTGATGCCCTAAGACAAACTGGAGATTGTGATTTCTTACTGGTTTTCTTCAACCAGCAGTGTGAGAAATGCTGTTTTATTCATCTGTCCTTGAGGTGAAGTGTCCCTGTGATGTTGTTGTTGCACACACTCCTTGATACAGAACATAGTTTTCAAAATTAGGGCTTTTCTAGTTTGAGCATGAATATGATAAAGAAAAATATGGAGGAAATCATTAATAGATGTTGCAGACACTAAGTCTGCCAGCACTTTTCTCAAATTAGTATGTAACATTTAACTTACTAGGTTTTTTTTTTTTCATATTTACATCTGTGTGTTACTGCAGTTGCTCAAACCCCCAACGGTGCATCCCACCCTCAAATGGTCGTTGTTCAGCTCAGTAAAACCCTGTCTGTGGTGTCAGTGTTTGACTTTTTCTGTAACTTTTAAGAAGTAGCTGACAGCAGATCTTAGTGTCCAACAGCTGTAGCCAGGGCTTAGCTGCTGATGTTGGGACTGTAGCCGTGTGTACCCTACCTTTGCTGGTGCCAACCCACATCCAAAGAGTAGACCCTACAGGAGAAGGGAGCAACAAATAATAAGGGATCCTTGAGTGAGAAGGGTAATTCATGATTCTGCCTGCAGGTTAAAGTGTACTTCTCTTTGACTCCGAACTCTAAGTAGTTTTGCATTTGTAATATATTTTTTTCTCTTAGTAATACTATCAAGAAGGACCTTTGGTAATTTTTCTAATTAATGCAAAGCTTGTTCAGGCAGATTTCTCCTTCAGCGTTTGTCTTTCTTGACATCATTTATCAGGTGTCTTCTATAGCTGCCTTAAATAACTATATATATATAAAAAAAAAAAAACCCACCTAAAATAACATCTACATTAAATGACTGCAGAATTATCTGCTGATAATATACCTTTTTCAGGACAATGGAAGTAAGTGTATGAAGAAATAATCTGAGACAAATAGAACTTGAAAGTTAATTCTATACTTACTTTTGAATTTATAAAAAACTGAAGCTTTCTCATATGATGATAAACAAAATGCTGAGATAGAAGATGCATTTGCAGGAAGTGCTTTTTGTTTGGAAATATACTACAGAAACACATACTACTGTGGTGTTACATAACAACCAAAGATACATTTCATCAGCTTTATTTTCAACCTTAAACTGAAATTACTGGGGATCCTTTGAAACAATTTTAAAGCATCCTGATTAGTGCAATTGAAAATGATACCTTAAAATTAATTTTGTTCTTTTGTACCCTAAAAAGGACTTAATGTTACAGTGGTAATATTTTTAATATTTTTTTTTATCATTTTAGGAGATTAAAGACAGTGAGTTTAAGGGGATTCCAATAAGTTATTTGGAGGTTCATCCCAGTGGAAAACGTTTGTTAATTCATACCAAAGACAGTACTTTGAGAATTATGGATCTCCGAATGTAAGTATATTTCACTATTGACAGGTTAAGCACTCATAGAATAAGTAATAAATTAATTCATATTTATAAAATGAAGCTGTGGTTCTTACCTGGAGGATTTTGTCCTTCAGGGGACATCTGGTAGCGTCTGGAGACATTTTTGAATGTTGCTTTTACTATCTAGTGGGTAGAGACTAGAGATATACTGCTAAACATCATATAGTTCATAAGACCGCCTCCCACAATGAGGAATTATCTGGCTCAAAATGGGAATAGTTATGAGGCTGAAATCTACACAGTTGCTCTTTATTTTCACAATTAAAAAAATCTATTATGGAATATCTTTTATCTCTATGATACTGGTATAGCATATTATTATGATTTAATATCATAACTGAATGAGAGGGCTTTCGAATAACACATCCTTGTTTCTCTTTTTTGTTTTATTTCTGAATAAAGCAAATGAAGAAAAATATCCTTAACGTAAAAGGCAGAAGCAGAGTTCTGGGAAAATTAGCATGGACTTCTGCCATGCTTTTGTTTTGGTGTGGAGTTCTGGCAAAACAAATGAGAGGAAGCTGTGTTATTAGATTTCATTATTGTATTTAGAAAGGCATATGTGGTGATTTATATTAGTTTATTCTGCAGTTCTCTTTTTAGGACTAACCATTAAGCCCTTAAATATTTATGTAGAACTGGTCAAGACCCTGGCATGGGTGCTGTGGGAGAATGATAAGCAGAAGTAGCTTATCAGGAGTTTATAATCCAGTTGTACTGCCTCCAAAACAACACAAAAACATTTAATTAGGCTGAATTGTAAGATCTCTTTGGACTGGAATCTGCTTATTCCTTTTTTCTATACATAGCATCCATACTATGCCTTGCAGATAGCTAGTACTTAGTATGTATTTTTAATGAATATAAATTTATAATAAAAAAATTATATAATTCATGGCAACAAAAGTGAAAGCTATAATATAGTCTTCTCTTAAAGGCTCAATGGAGAGGTTGTCCTTTGAGCTCAATCTTGAAGGATGGGTAGAATTTAGATAAGATGGAGTGTTTTCAGTAGAGTAGAAAAGCCTGGAATAATGTAAGTTGTGTTCTAGGCAGAGTGAGGTAGTCTGTATAAGCATAAGTTTCTTGTTAAGGGGTGCTGAGAGAATTTTTTAGAAGTAGAGATTAGAGCCACATTTTAGAAGGCCTAAGGAGTTCGATGATCTCTTTTTAAGCAGTATAGTATTCAGCTTAAGCTCATGCTTGGTCTCTAGAGGCAAACTGCTTAGAATCAGATACTACCTTTTTCACCCCTTACTAGCTGATTAACCTCTCTGTACCTCTCTTTTTTTCTTATCACTCAAATGAAAGAAATAATATACCATACTCATAAGGATTTTTTGGGTAATAAACTAGTTTGCAGAAATGTTTGACCCTGTAACTTTAGGTCTGGGAATTTATGTTAAGAAAATAACTATAAAACAGTTTTAAAAATTGAACAATAGTATGGTGGATACTAGAAGGGAAGGCGGTTGGGAGGAAGATGAAGAGGGTATAGGTAGTCAAATGTATGATGACAAGGACAACTAGACTTGGGGTGGTGAGCACACAATGCAGTATACAAATGATGTGTTATAGAATTATGCACTTGAAACATATAATCTTATTAATGTGTTAAGTGTTAATCTTATTAACACTTTTTATAATGTTATTAACCAATGTCACCCCAATAAATATATGATTTTTCATAGAAATCATGTTCATGGTAGGAGAAAGCTGGAAATGTCCTATGCATGTTGTCCAACAATAGAAAATTTCTTAAGATACATTTAGACAATGATATAATGTATACCTAAATTGACAATGCATAATCTATATATTCTGACATGTAGGGCCTTTGTTTGTGATATATTGTCGATTGAAAAAAGCACATTGCAGAGCAGTGTATATAATATCCTCTCTGTAAACCAGGGTTGATAGAAGTACCTAACTGGCACATAGTAAGCACTAAAACAGTATTAGCTATTTTTCATAAGCGAAAAAGCCTGGAAGGTTGTCTATTATATTTAATCAATGATTTAATAATATGTTCTAATGTTTCTGCAGGGATCAAGTATTCATTGTGTGATTTAAAAAAAATCATCACACAGGAAAATATATAAAAATTCTGTCCCTTGAGTAACCAACCCAAATGCTACTTCCATAAAATAGTCCCTCTTCATAGCCAGAAATAATCTCTCTAGTCCAAATCTGCAAAATACTCTTTCTTTTCTTCTCTTGTGGCACTTTCTACATTCGCTTCCTATTTTACATTGATGCATTCCTTCTCTCTCCCGCTAAATTATAAGCTCCCTGAGCTCTGGCACTGTCTCTTCTTTATTCTGCATCCATAACAGATTTTCAAAAAAGTTGTTCGTTAAATGCAAATGAAGTATTTAAAAGTTTTTCTACCACCAGTCTTTAAAGACTGTAAGACAGATTACATTTGTAAAATCTTTTCTTGTTTATAGATTAGCAGCAAGGAAGTTTGTAGGAGCCGCAAATTATCGGGAGAAGATTCATAGTACTTTGACACCATGTGGGACTTATCTCTTTGCTGGAAGTGAAGATGGCATAGTATATGTTTGGAAACCAGAAACAGGTAAATATTTTGTTGATCTTCAAAAGGAAATTTTTTTGTTTTGTTTTGAAGAAGTATGAAAAATACCATTTTATGGAATAATTTTCAAGGAAATTCTGATTCCAGGTTCTCAATTATGTTTTTTCAAAATAGGAAAAATGATAGTGGAAGTCAGCTACAGTCTAAATTTTTATTCTGTTCCTATTGTTACGATAACATCATGAATTTAAAATTTCACATTATAATTTAAGGTTTATTCTTTCCTTGCCTATAATGAGATATTGTGGGTCTTAGAGAACTATTTAATGAGAACTATCATGCAAAATACAAAATATTATGAGCTGAATTTGGGATATAACTAGTTATACAAATGGTGAAACATCTCTAGTACATTTTTATTAGAAATATTCTCGTCAAAGTTTATGATGTCTAAAACTTAATAGCAATTAAGTTTACCTGAATTACCATAATTCAGTTTTTTTCCAGAAAAATAAACTATTATATTGGGAATTTCATTTGCACTTTACTTTTGCTTTTCAAAAGAAAATTTGAAACTACATTTCAAATTTTAGCAATAAATTTAGAGAATTTAGAGAAATTCACTCTAAAATTCTTTTAATGAATCGTATTTAATTACACCTTGTTTATCCTCTTGATTTTTCCTTTAGGCATTTTCAATAAGTCAGTTCACTTAGGGTTTTTTTGTTTGTTTTTTTACTGTGTTTTGATGCTTTAGTATCAATTCAGAAATGTTAGATCTCTTTTCCTCTTCAATAAATCTACATTCTATGCTTTTTGACTTATGCTTTTCATAGGTTCCTTAGACCTCTGTTGTAGACCTCTTTTAGCTATGAGTAATCAGATGTATCTTTAAAGCAGATGGTACCTGAAACAGCCTCTGGAAGAAAATAGAAAAATTAATTCCCCACCGAAGCTTCCCCAACCAGTTTCTCAGTTTTAGAGTTCTGCAGTTCTTCCTGCAAGTTCTTTCTGGAGTTCTTTGTTAGTTGGCGTTTCTTGGCCCTGTCAGATCTCAATCAGGTACCTCTCTACTTCTTAGCTGTCTTTGTTTTGTATCTTTAAAACCTCATCAAGAGGTTGGACTGAGAAGTAGAAAGAAGAAGGCTGACAGAATGAAAAATAAAGATAATTATTTAATACAGTAGTACTCAAATATTTATAAGTATTTGAGATTTTTGTGTAAATAACATGAGCGTCATCATTATTTACTATAAACATTTCTAATAAGTTGCAGCATAACCTAATGAGAAATAACTGAGTACAAATTATTGAATATCTTTTCTTATTTAGGAGAACAAGTAGCAATGTATTCTGACCTGCCATTCAAGTCACCCATTCGGGACATTTCTTATCATCCACTTGAAAATATGGTTGCATTTTGTGCATTTGGGCAGAATGAGCCAATTCTTCTGTATATTTATGATTTCCAGGGTAAGTCCACTGCTCGATAAGTAAAGAATATTTAGAGTAACCTTTACATTTAGACTGAACCCAGAATCACGAGCTCTACGGAAACTATCATCCTTCGTATTAACAAAGCTCTCTTGAGTATACTGTAAGAGCCAAACAGATTAAGTAGATTATATTGTTATTATATTACAACATTTTGTTTTTTTCATAAGCACTATTATTCTGGAGTTTAAGTATTAGCAACAGTACACATAATAGTTGTGCCCTTATATCGGAATCATAGAATGGTAGTCATCACTTTTTTTGTAAATCAATTTAAGTAAATACACCTAAAAATCCTTTTTGAATGTTAACTAAATTTAAAAGATAAATTACATTTAGGAAATATGGATCTTTAATATTTTCAGTTGAATATTGAGTTAATTTCTTATTCTGTGTTTTTGTTTTTTACTAAAGCACGTAGTTTTCATAAGTTATGGTTTTAAGAGTTTCTTAACATGAAAAGGCAGAAAACTAAATATCAGTAAAAACAAGATCCAGAATTAGAAATCTGATATATTTTTTTACTCTAAAATTTTCTTATTCTATCATTATGAGAAATAAGGAAATAAAGACTGGACACAATTTTCAGGAATAGTATGGCATTTTTAGAATTATTTGGATTTATGCTGTTTTTCATATATTTCTTTAATTTCTGTCCTGAAATTAGGATTTCGTTGTTCTGCATCGTATTGATAATTCTGTCACTCTCGAAATTGCCATTCATGTATATAGGTTACGTTAATGTGGAAGTATTTGGACAAAGTGTTTTAAATTAATGAAATGTGAGTAGTTAAATTTATTGCGTTAATACAGATTGAATTGGTTAATGGTTGTAATGAGTGCTAAGTTATTAGACAATTCTAAACCTGAAGTTCTTGATCATAGTATGGACTTTTGTATGTTTTTTCAGGTGAATTATATTAGAAAATAATGTGTAAATTGAAACTTACCTTATTTTAAAGAACAGAAAAAAAAATAATGAATTTCTCTAACACATATTAAGATTTATACAGCACTATTACTAATGGTAGAATTGTTAGACAACACAGTACCATATACTATTATAAGCAAATGTTAACAAAAATAAACACCGCCTGATTATAGGAAAAGACAGATACGTTTCTCCAATTATCCAATATCCAAAGCTAGTGTCTAGTTAAAGCATGTGTTCGGAAACAGGTCTATCTTTGTATACATTCTAAATCTTCACATAAAAGAGAAGAATTATACCTAGGGACTTTATAATTGGAACTGTTATACAGGAAATGGGCAGCACAGTTATTTCCTCAGACTCGAGGTTTCACAACAATCTTCATTCAATTTCTAATTTGCTTTATAGGCTTTTGAAATTTTCACTACAAATGCAAGTTAAAGTTTCACTTTTATCTTTTTTTTTTTTTTTCCTGTTATTTTTTGTCATAGAGGGATTTCATCATTGGATTAGACCAGTCAGGCTTGCCCATATGGTTTTTAAACAATAGGATTTAGATTAAGAAGTTTATTCTAGAAGTGTAAGTAGATCGAGCTGTGTTTCAGGAGTCTAAAAACATGGGTTTTAGCCTCAATTTTGTTTCTTTAGTGACCTTGCACAAACATCTTGCCTTCTCAAAGCTTTATTTTCTTATTTAGTAAATGGTTCTACTACTACTACTATATCTGTGCTACCTAAGAGTCATTTGTGAAGATTCTATGAGACAGAGACTATGAAAGTACTTTGTAAATTGATAAGCACTAGAATAAAACAAACCAGGGTAAAATTGGTTGTTCTTATGCTCATCTAACCAGTACATACTTGACTTTATGGGAACTGATGTTTTAGTATGCTGATAAGCATCTATATGTGAAAGAGAATTGGAAAATGTTTTTTTCTCTCTTTTTCGTTTAGCAACTTTTTCCTTTTATTTATTTGAGTTTGTACTTCTTGGGGTCAGTTGTATTAGAAAATAAATGCATAAAGTTAAGAACATTGTTATATCCACGCTTTCTTAACATGAAGAGGAAGAATTTCTAAATGTTTTAGGAATATTCACATAATACACATGAAATTAAAATTATTTCATATATTTGTAATCATTTTTTGATATACTGACACACCTTTACAAACAAATGAAAACTTAAACTGTTTCAACACATTTTCCCAACTCTTTACTGTTTATTTTTAAAAAGAGGAAGCTTAGGAAGAAGTTACATAATCTCAAGCAATCCAAGATTTAGCACAATTCTTGTGAATGGTATATATTCATAAGAAAATGAAAAGTTGTTTTAGACTCTAAAGTATTTTACTCATTAAATGCAGGCCAGGATCATCAAGTCAAATAGTCTTTAAATTTTGTATTGAAAATTATATATACTATTGACCTACTATAGTTTTTCCTTTTATTTATTTATTTTAATATGGGAATATTTTGCCCCGACTTTCTTGTCTGAAAATAAAGTTTACATGTAGCTTTACATAAATGTTTTAATGGTGTAAAATTTGGAAGATATAGAACACTTATATGATTTTTAAATAGTATTTATCAGATCTACTGAGACGTTTAGGTAATTTTCAAGGAAAATGGAGCAAGCTTCTTTTTTTATAACTTAAGCTGAGAAAGAGACTACAATGGTAACTAAATGTATCATCCATCTTTCAGTTCTAGCAAAACCTGTGAAGAGTCAGCAGGCATCTTTCCCTGTTAAGCATATGTTCAGGTTGTGGTCTTTTAGGTCTTTCATTCTACTGACTTCTTGCTTTTTTTGGTAAGAAACATGATTTTTACTTTCAGAAGGCGGTTTTATTTGCCTGATGTTGAAAAGGTTAATCATCTAGTAATACAAAATTTAGTCACAAGGTACCACAAATATGTACTTTAAGGATTCCCATAATAACAGAATACTAGTCAGAGAAACGGCTTCTACTGAGTTAAATTTATGAAGCTAGACTTTAGCAAAATGTTCTGTTATTAATCAATATTTATCTGCCTCAGTCTCTAGGATCCGGCTCCACATTTAGTCATAATCATAGCTAATACTTACAAAGCACTTTCTATGCCCCTGGTACTCTTTCAAGCACTTTACACATAGTTAATTTGTCACAATAATCTTGTGAGATAGGTTCTATAATTATTCTGTTTTACAGGGGCCAGGACTTGGATTCATACTGTGTGGACTCAGAGTCCATGATCTTATTTGCAACATAAACTGCCTTTTTAGCAGATTTCCTGAAATATTAGCTTTTGATTGTCTAATAAGCAAACTTTTTTCCCCTAACATACCATTTACTGTATGGAATATATGATTTCTTTGTATTATCTTTAGTTTGTAGGAAGCAGAGATGGAACATAGTCATGGTTTTATTACCAATATAGTACCTAGCTTGAATACTGAAACTTGATGAACATCCTGTAGTGTTTTAAATAGGATCAAGTCCTAATTTGGGAAGGTCTCAGCATTATTTTATAATTTCAGGTAATGAGCCTTATTTTTCACTAGGTGGCAATATCTCCTCTAAATCAGTATTAACTCTGGTGTGCTTTTCAGTCACTGTCTTAGGCAAGACAAATCTTTATTGAGCACCTATAATGTGCCAGGTTGAATATGAAACCCAGGAATCAACACTCAGATTATCTTGCTCTTTTCCAATACAAAGGATTGGAAAACAAGATGTTTTCTAAGTAGTTGATTAAACCTCTGAGGGAACTTTAGTTAAACTGAAAAGCATTCTCTACCATTGACACTAAATTATTTTATCTATAAACTTCATATTCACTAATAACCACTTGTCATTGTCGATAGCTTTATTTTTCACGCGGTGACATTCTTTACCAGAATTCAGGGCAATGTATAGGTTCCTATAAAAATTTTGTTATATAACTTACTCTTTGACCAAAGTTCATGGTGTTTTTAAGGACTGTGTCTAACACAATACCTAGTGTATTACTGATGTGCAATAATTGTTTAAAATAAGAGTTACAAATCCTGTAAAATAGCATTTTCTCCTTAAATTTTATAAAAATACAGAGTGAAAGCCATGATCAATAGTAGATTCGGGGCTAATAATAATAGTGGTAGTAGTAGCTGATATCTATCAAGAATTTATTATATGTTCCCTACTCTTATGAGCAATCCTTCCCAAACCTCATGAGGTAGATACTATCGTTACCCTCATTTTGCACATGGTGAAACTGAGGCATAGGGAGAATGAAGTAATTTGCCTAAGTCCACACAGTTGGTGAGTGGTCAAGCTTCCTGTCTCCAGAGCCCATTAAGCTGTCTGTCACAGCTACTTATTTAGTCTTTGCATTTCCTGTATCATGAAATAAATTAAGAATTTAGCCAAATGTTCCTGTGGTGAAATGTGTTGTTTTTAATTTTAATGTTTAGGAGAACCCCTTAAGATTACAAAGAACTTTGCTTATCTAATATTAGTATTACTGCTTTACAGATTTGCAGTATAATTATAATGCATTTGGCCATTATATTGTTTATGTATTCTAAAATATAAATTTTTTATTATGTAGTATTAAATTTTAATGGAACTACTTTTATAATATTTTTGCACTAAGATAATGTCTAGTCGAAATAAATTTGATATCCATAGTTTTATGTATAACTTAATGGTGCTCTTGAAGTACTAATGATGATTGAGAAGCAAACTCAGATTATAATCTCATATGTGTAAGATTATGCAGTAACAAATATAACTGATTGTAGGTCAGAATTTTAAATATCTGTTATTAGCCTAGTAGGAGAAAAAAGAAAGAAAATGACACTTTATACAACATGCTGAAACTACCTATTTCTTGGTCATATCCTGAAACATCTATTTTAATATTCTTCAGTAATGGATAGTTTGAGTTGAAAGTTTATGTCATTCGAGGATTCAAAACATATGGAAAACTTAGTTAGCTTAGTGGCATTGAGCATAAAGCAGAGCCCTGAGTTCTTCATGGAGGGATTTTTTTACGCCTACACTGCTGCTTTTTAAACTGCACCGA